TAAAAAAAACTAAAAAAAATAAAAAATCCAGAAAATCCAATAAACCCAAGACACTCAAGAAATCCAATAATTCCGAAAATCCAAAAAATGCTAAACCTAAAAAACCTATGCAATAATAAAAAAATCGACAATATCCAAAAAATCAAAGAATTTAAAAAAATAATAAAATGTAAAAAATTCAAATAATCCAGAAAATCCAATAAACCCAAGAAATCCAATTCCAAAAATCCAAAAAAAAGCAAAACCCAAGATATCCAATAATCCAAAAAATCGAAAATATCCAAAAAGAATCAAAGGCAAAATAAAAGATCCAAAATATCCAAAAAAATCAAAGAATTTAAAAAATAAAAAAATCTAAAAGATTGAAACAATCCACAAAATCGAATTAATTCAAGAAACTCAAAAATGTAAAGCCCAAGAAATCCAATAATCCAAAAAATCGAAAATATCCAAAAAAATGGAAGAATTTATAAATTTTAAAAAATTCAAACAATCTACAAAATCTAATAAACCCAAGACACTCAAGAAATGTAATAATTCAAAAAATCCAAAAATGCAAAACACCAGAAATTCAATAATCCAAAAAATCCAAAAAATGAAAATATCCAAAAAATCAAAGACTGAAAAATTCAAAAAAACGAAAAAAAAAACAAAAAATCCACAAAATCCAATAAAGCCAAGACACTCAAGAAATCCAATAATTCCGAAAATCCATAAAATGCTAAACCTAAGAAATGTATGCAATAATCAAAAAAATCAACAATATCCAAAAAATTAAAGAATTTAAAAAAATTAAAAAGTCTAAAAAATTCAATTAATCCAAAAAATCTAACAAACCCAAGAAACTCAAGAAATCCAATAATTCCAAAAATCCAAAAAAATGCAAAACCCAAGATATCCAATAATCCAAAATATCGAAAATATGCAAAAAATCTAAGAATTTAAAAAGTTCAAAAAATCTAAAAAATTTCAAGCAATCCACAAAGGCCAAGAAACTCAAGAAAAAAATCCAAAAAAATGCAAAACCCAAAAGCTTCATTAATCCAAAACATCGAAAATATTCAAATAATCCACAAAATTCAATAAACCCAAGAAACTCAAGGAATGCAATAATTCGAAAAATCCAAAAAAATTCAAAATCCAAGATATCCAATAATCCAAAAAATCGAAAATATGCAAAAAATCAAAGAATTTAAAAAGTTCAAAAAATCTAAAAAATCCAAACAATCCACAAAGTCCAAGAAACTCAAGAAAAAATTGCAAAAATCCAAAAAAATGCAAAACCCAAAAGCTTCAATAATCCAAAACATCGAAAATATCCAAAAATTGAAAGAATTTAAAAAATTTTAAAAATCTAAACAATCCACAAAATCTAAGAAATTCAAGAAAACCAATAATCCCAAAAAAACAAAAAATCTAAAAAATGCAAAACCCAAGGACTGCAATAATACAAAAAATCTAAAATATCCAAAAAGAATCGAAGGCAAAATAAAAGATCCAAAATAATCAAAAAATCAAATAATTTAAGAAATCAAAAAATCTGAAAGATTGAAACAATCCTCAAAATCGAATAAATTCAAGAAACTCAAAAATGTAAAGCCCAAGAAATCCAATAACCCAAAAAATCGAAAATAACCAAAAAAATGAAAGAATTTACAAATTCTAAAAAATCCAAACAATCCACAAAATCCAAAACACTCAAAAAATCCAATAATTCCGAAAATCCATAAAATGCTAAACCTAAGAAATGTATGCAATAATCAAAAAAATCAACAATATCCAAAAAATTAAAGAATCTAAAAAAATAAAAAAGTCTAAAAAATTCAATTAATCCAATAAACCCAAGAAACTCAAGAAATCCAATAATTCCAAAAATCCAAAAAAAATGCAAAACCCAAGATATCCAATAATCCAAAATATCGAAAATATGCAAAAAATCTAAGAATTTAAAAAGTTCAAAAAATCTAAAAAAAAACCCAAGCAATCCACAAAGGCCAAGAAACTCAAGAAAAAATTCCAAAAATCCAAAAAAATGCAAAAACCCAAAAGCTTCATTAATCCAAAACATCGAAAATATTCAAAAAAATCCAAGAATTAAAAAAAAAATCTAAAAAATTCAAATAATCCACAAAATTCAATAAACCCAAGAAACTCAAGAAATGCAATAATTCCAAAAATCCAAAAAAATGCAAAACCCAAGACATCCAATAATCCAAAAAATCGGAAATATACAAAAAATCAAAGAATTTAAAAAGTTCAAAAAATCTAAAAAATCCAAACACTCCACAAAGTCCAAGAAACTCAAGAAAAAATTCCAAAAATCCGATTAACTTTTAATTGAGGTCCGTTGCTAGGTAACGTGCATGGTTTAACCAATCACGGGCTCTTATTGCACATTTTAATCCTCTGTTAAATTAATCGAGGATTATAGTATATTACATATCGAGGGTGGTAAGAAGCTAATTACGAACGAAGTTTATACACGAGCGAGCGTAGCGAGCGAGTGATGTAATATGAGTTCGTAATTAGCATACCACCAGAGTTGTGTCATATACTTTTTCTACGATCTATAATGAAGAATCGCTTTCAGAAGAAATTTTTTTGGGAAAGCAAATATTTATAGTTGCTATGGAAACTATTCAAACAGGCACGTAATATATATATATTACGTGCCTGTTCATTCATTACATGCCAGTGGGTGTAACTATGGTTTTACCACAGACTATACAGACAAGCCACTGCCCCACCACTGACAAACGAATATAGTCTTTAATTCAAGAGTCCAAACAGTCGATTTCAATTATTTTGCCCTTGAACACAAGAAAATGACGGTTTAGGTAAGGATGACCTTGATTCCGCTTAAAAATTTGCAAAATACTGTAGTGGCTACCCTGTTTAGTGGAAACTTTTAGGAGAATGTAACTAGAAAAACTAGAATTTTGACACTTCGGGTACAGAGATATGTAAAAGACAGATGCGGTTATAGCTTTCCCGATCTAGGGCCAACATCTATGATCTAAGAGTAGCAATACTTTGTGTCGCCTATCCTTTTCTATATCAACACCAGTACTATGGATTGCCAACTGTAGGCTACATCGATCACTCTCTAAAAGGTGGTTGTCTTGTTATTGGCCCGTTCTGATGGCGGCAATTATAAATAATCATAACCACCCACAGTCTGAGTGGTCTGACAGGGACCGGCACAAACACAAGAACGGCATCAACGACAAACGTTGCGCCAACTCTCATTGGTTGCGCCGTACAGAGCGAGACCTTCAGATATCGGGTTACCATTATACGTGCTAGAGAAAAAGAGGGAGATATAAACGTACAGTGACATTTTGGCCCTAAACGTATGTCCACGAGAACATTAAATATCTGTATCTAGTCTTTTACATATCTCTGTTCGGGTCAGAGATATTGAATATAAGTACATATATACATTTAAACCTCCTTGCTTTGGGTTGACAACATAACCACATATAACCTCAAAATGGGTCTGACCAAGACCTGTGAAGTGCAGCGCACTCCTGTGAGTCCTGCGGCGACAGAATACACAATACAATACAATATAAGTATTCACTCACTTTTAAAAAATGTATAAATTTAATTAATAGCACTCATAAATTTTTTAGCTTGTTTATGATTTTTTTTTTACTATGAACGTACGTACGAACGCCTTTATTATTTTAGTAAGTTAAACATAATATGACTTCTGTTGATGTATTTTTTTAACATTATATTGGCTTTTAACCGAGATTGTGTTGTAAAGTGGCAGTCCTCGCGTTTAAAAATCGCGCGTATGAAGTGACGGTTGAGGTAAGTCGTCAATAAGGGTCACGTTCGCTCAAAGTGGGTATGTGTCTTGTCTGGTAGTCTGTGGTTTTACTATCAGGCTAGACAGTTCGTAATTCATGGATTACTATGTGGAAGTAGAAAATAGTATATTATTAGCCAAGGTTGCAAAGCCAAGCATTCTAGGCCGAGCGCAAATTAGAACCCGAGACGCGCAGCGTCGAGGGCTCTGAAGTGCGAGGTCTAGAAGTGGCTTTACAACCGTGGTTAATAGACTATTTTTTTCACTAGTAGAAACCATAAGACAATAAATTGAAAAAATAAACGTTCAATTTTTTGACGCAACATGATTTTGTTTTGATTTCTAATCAAACTTAATTTAAATCTTCAACACAAAGAAAACCGTTTACACTTGTCGCCGCATTAATCATTTTATCTTCTACCGTCTACCAACTACCATGCGTATACTCAAGTAATATTAGTAGCACACATTCATTCATTTTTTAAGAAATAATTACATCAAATATTGGGTACATAACCTCAATCTTCTTTTTGAACCCGTGGTAGCAAAAGTTGAATTTGCTACCTCTAAATGAGTCGACATTTGCATGCTTCATGGCTGCTAGTGAAAAAAATATTTAATTCGCTGTTCTATAAACCGGCCATAAAAAAAATCTCCCTGCGTCAAGTCCACGATTTTATTAATTTAATGTAACTTAGTGAACTTAACGTAAAAGCAGTGGAAATCTACCAGATCCAGATATTATTTGACAGTTACCGGTGGTTGTCGGACTCAACACGATGATCATGCGCTCTGAGCAGAACACTTTTAAATTTTAATTTAACGTTTAAACATGAGTGTTTGGCAACTTTAGAGTTCGTTAAATTAAATTGGTTGCTCATAAACACTCCTGTATGATTTTGGGAATTTAACTTTTTCTTAAATTACGTTAAATTAAATCTTAATTTTTCGTGCATGAACCCACCATAACTGACGCTAACCTTCAAGTTCTTCCTGTTTTAATTTGGTTTAAAATTTTGCTTTTACATTATTTTGAAATAAGTTAAAAACAGAAAACTGTGTTTATTAAAAGTAGTTAAACCTGAGTTCCTAAAGAATTCATAACAATGTCGGACAAAAATACGCGTGCGGATACACGGATCAAAATTTCACAACACAAAATTGAAAATGACTAGCTGCTTACACTAATGACACTCCTGGATGTCCGTTGGGTCTAGGTGAGTTTGTTAAAAGAATTGTCGTTTGGTAAGATTTAACAAACAACGACAAAGCTTGGAACACCACTATTAAAACGTATTCACTTTGCACATAGGGAGAGAACAGGAGCAGGCAACAGGGGAACAGGACAACAGGATTCCGCTTGTAGTCCTGTGCTAGAACTTCAGTCCCCTTCTTCTTCCGCCTATAGTGAATTCCCCTACCCCATGAATGCGTGAAAGCATGGGTGGTTGACTATATTATCGAAATGACTTTTGTTTTCAAATGCGGTTTCAAGTCTAGTTTTTTTTTGGCGCGAATATTTTATTTAAAAATGCAGTGAACTATTATTATTACCATTACTTCGTGGTTTATTAGTGTTTTTCATACTGTATTCAAATCAACGTTTTCCAAAGCTATAGAGGCTTCCATTTTCCATATGTTTTGGAATACCTCCATCACCGGACGCAAATAATACGCAAGTCGCTGACAATTTCAGATTATAGATATTATATCGGTTGTAATCAAATAAGTGACAGATCCTTTCATGTTCGTCTAATGGTATTTCCATTCTAAAAGTCTTAAATAGATGAAACATCCTGTATGCTCAATGTTTACAGAAATTCAGTATCTCTTTCCGTTTTCAAGATATTAAAAAATACAATTGGGGCGTTTTTGCTCATCTTATTAAAGTTAACTTTTCCTATATATAAGAAAATAACAACAAAGCACTTTTAAAATTTTGCATCTTTCACAGCAAAAACTTTGAAATTTCAAATATCCCCAACTGAACCATTTTTTAATAAAGGAAGTATATGTAATATCTAACCTGTATACCAACTGTAATCTTTAGCTGTTGGTATTACTGGTATATATTAGTAATCACAACAATATGAAAAATATTTATTACAAATTTTAATTCACATTATAGTGGAAAACAAAGAATGTGACAAAATGTTAAAACTATGTGATTATTCCAACTTATTCAAATATATGTCTTAACATAATTACAAGATGTATGTGTAAAAATTTATTTATTTAAAATAAATTGTTTTTATCACTGTCTACCAGTGCGCTTGCCTCAGCTTAGCCACAGTTTCAATAAAACTGGAATGACTAGCATATAAATCGAGCCCTTTGTCAACATCCACCCACTTCACACTCTGGGCGTCATCTCCCGCCTGCAGCTTAAATTTACCCACAGTTTCATTCTTATCATCGTGAAAATTCACAGCCACTGTCTCCATCCAAGCATTATCAGTATTCCTAGGGTCATCTACATATCCACGAAAAATCTCTTCACCTTTCTCAAAAAACTTCCCCACCATATCTTCAGTAACCTTTTTCTCTGCAAACAACATTTTCAAATTTGTTAATTAACACTCATGGATCAAACCTCGCCCCATCTCCAAACTATTGAAAGCTTCTTCTAGGAACTCCCTTTTCAAAGTTTCACTGACTTTCTCACCTGGATCTACCATCCCGCCTGGAATCGCCCACTGGCCACAATCGCGCCTCTGAATGGCACAAAATTGCAAAATAGGCCTATACTACATAAGTTGTACATCAGCAGTCCTAACTCACAATTTTGATATTGGGTGTGTGTCTTTAATCCCGTTGGAGAGTTTCCATCGGGTTACTACGGGGTCTGCAGCGTGATTGGGGCCCCACTTGCCCAAGACACCGCGTCCCTTTAAGCCAGTGCGTCCCTCAGGATTTAAAGGGCGTCCATCTACTACTTTGTAGGGACCTGTGTGGCTTTGGCGGTTGACTGTACCATCTAAGCCATTCCATTTTGGATGGAAACTTGAAGAATCTAAAATGGCTAATTTGGTGGGTGAACTTTACAGTGTAAAATAGATACCAGTGGGAGGGTCAGCCCACGGCTTGTTGTGCAGCACAGGTGAGTCATAGTCCGGGGGGCTGTAGTTGTCCATGGGTGTGGTCCACGGGACTTGATCGTCTGAAAGGGCCAAACGTCGAATTTCACTGAAAGGATATAACACGGTCCTGCATTTTATGTGTACCATTTTTATAATTCTTTTTTCTAATTTATAATAAGGGATTATCTGAGAAATAAAAATCAAGGTTAGAAAAAAATTGACATTTTCAACGTAAGTTTGGTCTACGACTCTGGTACTTTGGAGCTACAACACCTCCTATTATCTGATAATAAATTATAAACTTTAGTTTTTTCTGATTAGTGATACTATTGAAAGCTCAAGAAATAGAAACGTAATACAAAGTTTGTTAATAACAAAAGCAGCATAAAAGTAGTTCGATTGCTAGTAACTAGAACTACCCTTACCTGCCCTCAAACGTCAAACTCAAGTCAAATTTAGTTATTGAACATTTTGCTTGCATTCCAAAAATTCTTTTCATTTTAGCTATTGCCAAACAGTGGACGCTCTTAAGGACGTTTATTTCGAAAATAGCGACAAGTGGAACGATTATGAACGAATACTTTAAAAGGTAAATTTCGTGTTTTGCGACATTGATTTCAAACTTTTTTCTTCCAGTTGTTAGATTATTCAGAGTCTGTCTGATTCCTGACAGGTAAGTGTGTTTCGTTTATTTGTATTTGTTGTTTTGACACACACTGTTTTAGTTACCGAATTCGAATATTAGCTTTAGCAAGCACACGAGCAAAATGAGCAGTTTGAGACCCATTAGTTCCCCCAACTACGAATCGAAATGTCCTAGAAATGTTTACGAAATGAACAATGAAAGCATGGTGTTTCAGCAAAATGACTTGTTCCCTTTGGCTTTTCCATGTATGGAGGAAATTCGCCGACAGGGACGCCTTTGTGATGTGGTGTTAAAGGTAAATAGATAAAGTAAATAAACATTGACACATAGTGTCAATGTTCTACAAAGATAACGCTACGTGTGAGTGCACAACTAAGTTTTCTTATTTTATTCTTATACATAGTGCTTCCCTAGTCATTGAAACTGTGACCATTACCACATTCATACCAGATGTTTGATCACTTCCAATTTTTTACCCCACTGTGTACAATTCTGTGTTTTCAAATTACTAAAATTTATTCATAACGTCCAATGAATTGCTAAAAGTTTAAAAGGAATCAATACATACTTTTTAAAATAATAGATTTTAAGAACTTGTAAAATTTTGAATTTTTTACAACAATCCACCTGTATAATTTTAAAAATAATTATGGATTACTAAATACAAAGTGAAATTTACTTAACAAAATTTTGATATAACGTCATCGGTTTTTTGGAGAGACAAAGAACATTTAGTTAATATTTTGTAATCACTAAATTATTTTTAGTATGACTATATCCTTTACCCCGACTCTTAGCGTTTAATTCTAATTAAAATTCAATGTACTGATGATTGGTTGCATTTGATCATTTTGATTACAAGATCAATTAATTTCGTAATTAAATAAAATGAAAGTTTAGCAGGTTATCACTAAAACAATGAATCTGCAACTGAGTCTAAGATCTGATTTAAAACAGGTGGATTAAATTTAATTCGAAGTTAAATCTAATATGTGATTAATCCGTGAATCTGAAATTTTGAGTGGTTGATTCTGATTATGTGATCAGTTTTTTTGCGTGATTTATAAACTGAATTTGAGAACCGGCAGATAATTCGAATTAGAATCTAATGTGGAATTAATTATTTACTTTGCAGGTTCTAATTTATAAATACTTGTTTTAACACTCTAAATAATAAATATTAGGAATACTGTGTGGTCAAAATACGATACATCAGATAAAATTAATATAGTCCAGATTCGAATTCAAAAAAGGCCAAATAGTGTTCTTTCACTGTATATTACAGAAACAAATTTAGTTTATTTATTTATTTTTGCAAGAGAAGTTAAAATTATCGATTGCAAACTTAGTTAATGTTAAAAAATCTTAAATAATAGATTGATTGATAGTCCAAATCAAAGATATTTACTTTTATGTGCTGTTTTACTCCCTGCAAAAGTAGGGAATGCGATATTGTTACTATGAGTAATACTACAGTGCATCTACCCAAATTGATATACTTGTCCGTGCAAAAATGTTAATGAAGTCATCACAAAATTGTGTAAAAAAAACTCATTTGAAACAAAGGTGTGTGTATCACTCTTCTGTATATTTACTTAATTTAACATTCCATACTTTTCTTTATTTTAACGTATAGAGGTTCTTACAAAAAATAAATAAAATTCGCAAAATGAAATTTTGTCATTTTTTGAAAAAGTTGGATGTGTTATTGTACTTCAGGGGCGAGGGAAGTTCTGTCGAAATGAATCTTACCGCCTCGTTGTGATGCTTGATAATGATATTTTCATTGTATTTGCTTCCTTATAAGTAGGCAACCAGTAATTCAGCCGGGCTGATAACTGCTACTTATCTCAATGAAACGGTAAATTTTATTCAAAATCCCGTGACAGATTTTCCAAAATTAACTTAATGTTGAACATATCATAAGGTTTAGCCAAAATAAATAAATTACTTACATACTACGTAGTGGAATTCTTTAAATTTTGTGATTTATTAGTGTTTACAGAACATTAACATAATTTTATTTATTCATCCTCTTCAGAATTACTCCGAAAACTACAACAAAAAAATTGTAGAATTTGCTAAGATAAGACTGATTTTTACTTCCTGAGCGTAAGCAAAGGAAGTATTGTAATCGAGTCCGTCGGCCGACTCTATACTTTTACATTTTCTCGATCTTTCATGACCCCTAGAAGACGAAGAAATAGGTCTCCCTTTTCCGTCTGTCTGTTCGTCTGTCCGTCTGTCTGCCGTCCCGGATTTTTATTAGACAGATAATCTCCGAAAGTACTGGGCCGATTGTTGTCAAATCCCCACCACTAATGTGATGACGTCACTTAAAAATTATACATAGTAATTGGGTTTTAAATTGTATCAAATAGCATAGTCTTACACATGTAGTTTATGACCCCGAATTGAGATTTTAACCGAAACGTCCAGATTTTTCGAAAAAAAAAAAAACAAAATTAGGAAACAACATTTCGAGAGTTTTAATTTGGAATCTACAAAACCGAATGCTTTGAAATCTTGCAGATGGTTTACAGTTATGACAAGCATGATAAAATTTTAATCACAATATATTTAGTTATCCCCTCCAAAAAATTGATGACGTCACCCCAAAATTTTTCTGAATAAATCTTATCTAAAATCTACAAAATATGATGAGTCTCTTCTTGTGATTTATCATTCCATTCATATTTTTTTGATATGCATATACAGGGTGATCCAAAAAATTAATGAATGCGTGAATTTATTTTATTGATTTAATCAGGAACTACAGAACCGAATGCTTTGAGATTTTGCAAATGTTTTAAGGTTATAAAGAGCATAATAAATTTTTAGTCAAAATATATTTGCTTATCCCCTTCAAAAAATTGATGACGTCAGCTCAAAAGATTGCCGAATAATCCTATCTAAAATGTACAAAATATGATGAGTCTCTTCTTGTAATTTATCGTTACATTCATATTTTTTATATTTGGATATACAGGTGACTCAAAAAATTTAATGAATGCGCAAATTTATTTTATTGATTTAATCAAGAACTACAAAACCGAATGCTTTGAAATCTAATGCGAAAAAAAACATAATAGACATGCAGTCGTCACGTTTCCGACAGCGAGGGAAGTACTGTCTAAACTCTTTAGACCAATTTTTTCAAATGACATACATACCCTCCTCGACCGGTTTCTGGGTAGCGTTATCGTCTTTCTTCATTTTCATTTTCATTCATTACTCCTGTTATACATTCGGTGCCCCTTTTCCACATTTTTCCACAGTCCAAAATCGTTTCTCTCACATTTGCCAAAGTCAGTCTTATCTTAGCAAGTACTAGCCCCGCCCACCCACCCTCTATTTTCTTAGAGGATATATTATTTGCCAAAATCAGTCTTATCTTATCAAATACCAGCTCCACCTACCCTCTAATTTCTTAAAGAGTATATCATTTGCCAAAATCAGTTAGACCTTAGGAACTACTAGCGTTTTTGTTTTAATATGTGTAGACGTCTTTTCACAACATGAAACTTAAAACATGTTTAAAATGGAAAATTTGTATAAAGAAATATCGATTTTGCAATTGGGCTCCGCTTCATAATTGCAAAATCCATATTTCCTTGCAAAAATGTACCATTTTAACCATGATGTAAGTTTCTTGTTGTTAAAAGATGGCTATGGATATTAATAAAAAAACACAAAATATAAGCCCTGCCCGCCCGCCCTATCTCGATCCTGATGATTTTTGTTATTCGTCGTAAGCTGAGGGGCCAAGCTTAATTGTAAAATCCCTATTTTTCTACGAGAAAGAGAAGATCCACCCATTCGTCTCGATCTCAGTCGTGATGAGTTTTTTATTCGTGGTCAGACCGAGAGGCGGAGCATAATTGCAAAATCGATATTATGGCGTGGACGTCGTGACACGTACGTATATTTTTTTAAACTGTAAAATATGTATATATTTATATATAACTCATTTTGATAGACTGTTACGATTGCAATGATATATAACATGTAGATATTTATTTTATTTTCAGTTGATAAAAACATAATAAAATCTATAAACTTAAAAAATTGAATGGTGAGTGAAATAAACACTTGCATTTTACTTTATAATCAACAAGATCTGTTCCAATAGCTATTTATTTTATGATATGTTCAAACTATCGTAAAACAGTGGTAGTTCTTTAGTTCGCGGAACTTTAATTTTATACATATTATAAATTTTATTTATTTTTTTCAACTGAAAATGAAATAAATATCTAAGTGTTGTATATTACTGGATTACTGTAACTGCAATTTAACGGTCTACCAGAATCCGTTAAAAATATATTCTTTGCTATTTAAAAAAATATAAGTATGCGTCGCGACGCCGACACCATGGATACATCATATTTATAGCATACTAGATTATAGAATAATAATAAAGGTCTTTCTTCAAAAAAGAAAAAAAAAACAGAAAAAAATATGCATAAGCCATTCTACTTAACCCACAAAACAAAGAACCATTTAAACTATAAATATATAATAAATATTCAGTAAGTGATATTTTATCCCACAAGTAATTTTATTTTCATTTGTTTACGAAAACTTGGAAAACTTAATTTAGAACTAAACAAGCCACAAGAGTTGTACAATTTTACACAGTTGTACGACATTGACCTTTGAAAGATTGATGTATGAAAGACTGGCATAGATAAATGATGCGCATGTCGGAGGTTCACATTATGAACATTCCTTCTAGAATGAAACTGTTTCCTTATGTAATTTGGCGAAAAGGGGGCAAATGTGCAAATGTTTTATATGAAAATGCGAATAAATGATACTTATACAGCTTATCTACTTTCAACCAATTCAAATTAAGAATTTTTTGCGATACCTGGTAATCTTTTTTGAGTTTATGTACAAATCTACAGCATACATTCTGAATCTTTTACAGTCTATTCGTACACTGAACGTCTAAACAAGAGTGGTAAACTATCAGACAATAATTTAGACTTGTCTGGGTCTTCTTAACATTCGCTGAACTCGACTCGGCTGAATAATCTCGTTCCCGAAGGTGGCCTCCATTTGAACCCATGTTCCCTTCTCGATGTTTCCCAATCGAGGTGTTTCTGGAATCCATCGCGACTTCCGCTTCCAGGCCTTTCTTTAGCGAACTCATCGACGATGAGTCATCGGCGTACAGACTAGAAGCTCTCGATGTCCCATAGGCGTCGTACCGGGGCGGCAAATGGGTTTATTTTGTAACACTACAATACCTTTTGTGTTCTCTAAACTGTAGTTGAAATTCAGTTTTGAATGTTCAAGTTCTGTTTCATCGTTGATTTTTCTAATTGCACTTTTTAGTTTCAATGTTCAGAATTAACTCCCAAAAAAATTAAAATATTCTCTTTCAAATCTTCGATTTCGAACTCGAGATCCGAACTTGGCAATTTTCAAAATGTGGAATATTTTGAATTCAGAATCTTCAGCCTCCAAAAAGCTTGAAATTATTCCCTTAGAAGTTTCGATCGAAGTTTCAACTTTCTACACTTTGGAGACTTGAACTTTATTTTTTGAATGTTCAAGTTCAACTTCATCATTGACTTATATAAGTGAACTTATTAGCTTCACCACCATTTAAATTTACCTCCCAAAAAATTAAAATATTCGTTTTTCAAAACTTCGGCATCGATTTCGAGATCCGAACTTCGTAATTTTCAAAATTTTTGGTTGTGGATGTTTTTTGTATGGATTTATTTATGTACACATATTTACAACGAATGACATTTAAGCAACGTGGTTGTGTTGGAACTCTGCGGCGACGAGGAGCGCGGTGTTCTTGTGATCTTGCTGCTTCTGTGGACGATGGCGGAGAGAGCGAGTTGTGCTTCCATCAGGCCTTTTCTAGTCTCGCTTCTCGTTTTCGCTTCTGCGTGGTACGCCAGCCAATTAGCGGTGTTCTTTGCAGGCGTACGGTTGGTTGCCTATAGCGCAGGCAACTTGCTCGCCACAAGTATTTTGAATTTAGAATCTTTAACTTTCAAAAGCTTGGATTATTTTCAAGCTTGAAATTGTCTCTTTGTACATAAATTTCCAAAGTTTTAATGTAAGTTTTCAACTTTTTGAACCCCAGACACTTGAACTTCAGTTTTTGAATGTTCAAGTTCTGTTTCATCGTTGATTTTTCTAATTGCACTTTTTAGTTTCAATGTTCAGATTTCATTCCCAAAAAAATTAAAATATTCTCTTCCAAATCTTTGACTTCGAACTCGAGATCCGAACTTGGCAATTTTCAAAATGTGGAATATTTTGAATTCAGAATCTTCAACTTTCAAAAATCTTGAAATTACTCCCGTGGAAGTTTCAATCGAAATTTCAACTTTTTACACTTAAGAGACTTGAATTTAATTTTTTGAATGTTCTATTCTAGTTCAACTTCATCATTGACTTATATAAGTGGACTTGTTAACTTCACTATTCAGATTTAACTCCCAAAAAATTAAAACATTCCATTTTCAAAACTTCGGCATCGATTTCGAGATCCGAACTTTGTAATTTTCAAAATTTTTGAGTATTTTGAATCTTTAACTTTCAAAAAGCTTGGATTATTTTCAAGCTTGAAATTGTCTCTTTGTACATAAATTTCCAAACTTGTAATTTAAGTTTTCAATTTTTTGAATCCCAGACACTTGAACTTCAGTTTTTGAATGTTCAAGTTCTGTTTCATCGTTGATTTTTCTAATTACACTTTTTAGTTTCAATGTTCAGATTTCATTCCCAAAAAAATTAAAACATTCTCTTCTAAATCTCGACTTCGAACTCGAGATCCGAACTTGGCGATTTTCAAAATGTGGAATATTTTGAATTCAGAATCTTCATCTTCCAAAAAGCTTGAAATAATTCCCTTGGAAATTTCGATCGAAGTTTCAATTTTCTACACTTTGTAGACTTGAACTTCATTTTTTTAATGTTCAAATTCAACTTCATCATTGACTTATATAAGTGGACTTCGTAACTTCACTATTCAGTTTTAACTCCCAAAAAATTAAAATATTCCTTTTTCACAACTTCGACATCGATTTCGAGATCCGAACTTCATAATTTTCAAAATTTTTGATTATTTTTAATTTAGAATCTTTAATTTTCAAAAAACTTGGATTATTTTCAAGCTTGAAATTGTCTCTTTGTACATAAATTTCCAAAACTGTAATTTAAATTTTCAACTTTTTGAATCCCAGACACTTGAACTTCAGTTTTTGATTGTTCAAGTTCTGTTTTATCGTTGATTTTTCTAATTGCACTTTTTAGTTTCAATGTTCAGATTTCATTTTCAAAAAAATTAAAATATTCGCTTCCAAATCTTCGACTTGATCGCGAGATCCGAACTTCGTAATTTTCAAAATGTGGTATATTTTGAATTCAGAATCTTTAACTTTCAAAAAGCTTGAAATTATTCCCTTGGAAGTTTCAATCGAAATCTCAACTTATTACAATTTGAAGACTTGAACTTCATTTTTTGAATGTTCAAGTTCAACTTCATCATTGATTTATATAAGTGGACTTCATAACTTCACTATTCAGTTTTAACTCCCAAAAAATTAAAATATTCCTTTTTCAAAACTTCGACATCGCTTTCGAGATCCGAGCTTCGTAATTTTCAAAATTTTTGAGTATTTTGAATTTAGAATCTTTAACTGTCAAAAAGCTAGGATTATTTTCAAGCTTGAAATTGTCTCTTAGTACATAAATTTCCAAAATTGTAATTTGAGTTTACAAATTTTTGAACTCCAGACACTTGAACTTCAGTTTTTGAATGTTCAAGTTCTGTTTCATAGTTGATTTTTCTAATTGCACATTTTAGTTTCAATGTTCAGATTTAACTCCCAAAAAAAATAAAATATTCTTTTCCAAATCTCGACTTCGAACTCGAGATCCGAACTTGGCGATTTTCAAAATGTGGAATATTTTGAATTCAGAATCTTCAGCCTCCAAAAAGCTTGAAATTATTCCCTTGGAAGTTTCGATCTAAGTTTCAACTTTCTACACTTTGGAGACTTGAACTTCATTTTTTTAATGTTCAAGTTCAACAAGACTTATATAAGCGGACTTCATAACTTCACTATTCAGATTTAACTTCTAAAAAATTAAAATATTTATTTTCAAAACTTCGACATCGATTTTCAAATCCGAGCTTAGTAATTTTCAAAATTTTTGAGTATATGGGATGGAATACTTTGAATTCAGCATCTTCAACTTTCAAAAAGCTTGAAATTATTTTTTAAAATTGGAAATATTTTGTTTTAAGAAAGTTACATATTACTATCTTTAAACTTGAAATTATTATCTTGTAAATTAAAAAAAATTAATTGAGGTATCAACTTAACTTTTTATACTTCAAAAACTTGAACTTCATTTTTTTTTTTTAATGTTCAAGTTCAGATTCATTGTTAATGTTTCTAATTGAACTTCTTAGTTTCAGTATTCAGTTATAACTCTTAAAAAATTTGATATTCTTTTTTCAAATTCGACATAGATTTCGAAATCCGAATTTTGTAATTTTCAAAATCTGGAATCGTTTTCAATTCAAAATCTACAACTTTCGAAAAGTTTGGATTATTTTTAAGCTGGAAATTATCCCCTTGGGAATTTCAAGGATTCTATTTTAACTTCCAAGTTTTTAAACTTTGGATACTTAAATTTCGTTTAGTAAATGTTAGAGTCAACCTCATTATTGATTCTTGTAATTGGTTTTTTTAATTTCGCTATCCAGATTTAACTCCCAAAAACAATCTTTCTTTTTCAAAACTTCGACATCGATTTCTAGAGTCGAACTTTCTAATTGTTAAAAACTGGAATATTCCGAATTTGGAATTTTCAACTTTCAGAAACCTTAAGCTTAAAGTTATCTCCTTGGAAATTTCAAGAGCTTTAAGTTTCAACTTTTTAAACTTCAAAGACTAAAGCTTCAGTTTTTGAATGTCAAAAATTCAAGCTCATTTTTGATCTTCGTAATTGGACTTTTTTATTTCCCTCTCAAAAGAAAAGTAATTAAAATTTTCCTTTTCCAAAACTTCGAAATCGATCTGGAGATTCGAGCTTTCTAAATTTTAAAAATTGTCGATTTATTTTTTTAATTTGAAATTTTTGACAAATTTGTAATACCTACTTAGTTAAAGTTCACTCGAACCTCAAGGTATATAACGGCTTAAAAATGCTTAAAAAAACTTCCAGATTGACGGTCAAGACTTCAGCGCCCACAAGATCGTCCTAGCCGCCACAATCCCCTACTTCCATGCAATGTTCATGAACGATATGGTCGAATCTCGAAACAAAGAAATCGAAATGAAATGCATCGACGCCATGTCAGTACCACCACCCCTCCCTCACACGTCACTAAAGTCGCTTTTCCAGGGCCCTCGAAGCGCTCATCAACTTCGCCTACTCGGGTCGCGTCGTCCTAGACAAAAACAACGTGCAAAGCATCATGATCGGAGCTTCTTTCCTCCAGCTGAGCAAAGTGAGGGACGCTTGCGCCAACTACTTACTCCAAGGCTTGCACCCCCAAAACGCCATAGGCTTCCGAGACTTCGCCGACAGCTTGGGCTGCAGAACGTTGGCAGACTCCGCCGAGAAGTACATAGAGACCTACTTCCACGAGGTGTCGCTGCACGACGAGTATTTAAACCTGTCCTTGGCCGAAGTCAAAGATCTGCTCAACAAGAACGAGCTGAGGGTGGAGAGCGAGGAGCAGGTTTTTGAGGCTTGCATGAGGTGGGTGAAGCACAGGGATAGCAGAAAGGAGTTTTTGCCGGAGTTGTTGGCGTTGGTTAGGTTGCCGCTGCTGAGTCCGCTCTACATTACGGACAGGGTGGGGACGGAAGAGGCCATAAGGTATTCGCTGCAGTGCAGGGATTTGTTGGACGAGGCGAGAACTTACCATTTGATACCGGAGAGGCGAGCGTTGATGCAGAGTTTTAAGACGGAACCACGGGCTTGCGAAGTTAAAGGGTATATTTACGTTGTGGGGGGTTTGAATAAGCACGGTTAGTTTTGAGGGTGGCAAATGTGGAGGTTGTTTTTGTGTTTTATGTATTTTAGGGGATTCTTTAAGTACTGTCGAATACTATGATCCTAAGACGAATATGTGGCATACAGCGCCACCTATGTCGATGTTGCGGTCAAGGTTAGGAGTGGCAGTTTTGCGAAGTCAGTTGTACGCGTTTGGTGGGTATAATGGGAAAGATAGGTTGGCAAGTGTGGAGGTTTATGATGCTCTTAAGAAGGAGTGGTCTCCTGTCAGCCCCATGCAGTGTAAGAGGAGGTAAGTAATAATAATAATAATGCGTTTATTGACGACTTAATGTAAAAAGTACAGTTACAATATTCACTTAAATAATATTGAGCGTAATTTAGAGATGAGAAAGAATTATAAAAAGTTAACCTTATTTGAAAACAAGTTACAGGTGGAAGACAAACTATTTAGGGGAGAATAAATACAAAGCATATTATTGATCACAGTAATCAACGGAAAATAATTATTTAAGGATTAAACACAGACTTTGAGAAATATTCTTCAATTTTATAACGTCCATTAATGTTTTTTACTTCCCGAGCGTAAGCTAAGGAAGTATTGTAATCGAGTTCATCTCCAACTTTAGGATAGTAAATGTTATTTAAATTTTATAAATTACATAGTCCCCCACTTGTAGTTCATGAATCTGTGTTGAGTTTTTATCAAAATTGTATAACAACATTTTACAATTTAACTTGCAAACGTTTTAAGGTTATCGGACACATGGTAAATCGTTAATCAAAATGTATCCGTTTACGACCCCTGTAAAAACTGATGACGTCATTTCAAAATCTTATCTAAAATGTAACATGGGCAGAATTCACAGAGCATCAAACCGAGCTCATCAGTGCCAAAAATCAAAATATCGAGAAATCAAGAAATTATTTTAAAAATGGAACCGTTGAAAAATCAGAACATCAAGAATTTGAAAAATTGAAAAACCAAAAATATAAATCCAAAAAATCGAAATATCGAGCACTCGAAACGTCAAAAAATCGAAAAATTAAAGTATCGAAAAATTGAGTAATTGAAAACTTGAAAAATCGAGAAAAATAGAAATATCGAAGAACTGAAAAATCGAAAAATCGAAAAAATTTAGAAATTAAAATATGATAAACTGAAAATCGAGAAATTGAAACATAAAAATCGAAAAATCAAAAACCCGAAAAGTCGAAAATACGAGAAATCGAAACACCAAAATGCCGAGAAATTGAAAAATTGAGAAATTAAAATAGGCTTAAACCGAAAAGTTAAAAATTGTGAATTTTAATTTAAAAAATGGATAAATCGAGTAATTAAAATATCGACAAATTTTAAAATCCAGAATTTGAGAAGTTCCCAAAACTGAAATGTTGAAAAATTGAGAGAGTGAAAACTTGAAAAGTGAGAAATCTAAAAATCGAAAAGTCGAAAAATTTTAAAGATTGAAAAACCGAGATATCAATCGAAACATCAAATAATCGCAAAATTGAAAAATTGAGAAATGGAAAAACGTAAAATTTAAACCATCAAAAAGCTGAAACGTCAAAAATTTAAAAATTCGAAAAATTGAAAAAAAAATAGAAATATCGAAGAACCGAAAAATCGAAAATTAAAATATCGAAACACTGAAAATCGAGAAATCGAAACAAAAATCAAAAAGTTCAAAATTCAAAAATCTAAAATTTAGAAATCGAAACACCAAAATATCGAGAAATTGAAAAATTGAGAAATCGAAACATCCCAAAATCAAAAAATTTTAAAATCCAGAAATTGAAAAATTCGCAAAATTGATATGTTGAAAAATTGAGCAATTGAAAACTTGAAAAAATGGAGAAGAATAGAAATATTGAAGAACTGAAAAATCGAAAAATCCGGAAATCGAAAAATCTAAAAAATTGAAAAACTAAAATAAAGAAAAATTGAAAATCGAGATTTTGAAACATAAAAATCGAAAAATTGAAAGTTCAAAAATTTTAAATTTAGAAATCGAAAAACTGAAAAATCGTGAAATTGAAAAATTCCGAAACTGAAATAAGGAAAAACTGGGAAATCGAAAAATTGAAAAATCGAAACATCCAAACACCAAAATATCGAGAAATTGAAAAACTGAGAAATTGAAATAGGCCAAAACCGAAAAGTTAAAAATTTTAAATTTTAATTTAAAAAATTTATAAATCGAGTAATTAAAATATCGAAAAATTTTAAAATCCATAATTTGAGAAGTTATCAAAACTGAAATGTTGAAAACTTGAAAAAATGAAAACTTGAAAAATTGAGAAATCTAAAAATCGAAAAGTGGATTAATTTTTAAAATCGAAGAAAAACCTAGCTGTCAAGAAATCCAAACCTCAAATAATCGCAAAATTAAAAAATGGAAAAACGTAAAATTTAAACCATCAAAAAGTTGAAAAATCAAAAATTTAAAAATTCGAAAAATTGAAAAAAAAAATATCGAAGAACTGAAAAATCGAAAAATATAAAATTAAAATATCGAATAATTGAAAATCGAGAAATTGAAACATAAAAATAAAAAAATTCAAAATTCAAAAATCTAAAATTTAGAAATCGAAAAACTGGGAAATCGAAAACCCGAAAAGTTGACAAAACGAAAATACGAGAAATTGAAACACCAAAATATCGGAAAATTGAAAAATCGAAACATCCCAAAATTGAAAAATTAAAGTATCAAAAAATTTAAAAATCCAGAACTGAAATGTTGAAAAATTGAGAAAGTGAAAACTTGAAAAATTGAGAAATCTAAGTATCGAAAAGTCGGAAAATTTTAAAAATCTAGAAACATACCTTTCAAGAAATCGAAACATCAATTAATCACAAAATTGAAAAATTGAAAGATCGAAAAACGTAAATTTAAACAACCAAAAAGCTAAAAAATCAAAAATTGAAAAAAAAATAGAAATATCGGAGAACCGAAAAATCGAAAAATCTGAAATTAAAATATCGAAACATTGAAAATCGAGAAATTGAAACAAAATCAAAACATTGAAAATTTGAAAATCTAAAATTTAGAAATCGAAAAACTGAAAAATTGAGAAATTGAAAAATTCCGAAACTGAAATAATGAAAAACTGGGTAATCAAAAGCGCGAAAAGTCGAAAAACGAAAATATTAGAAATCAAAACACCAAAATATCGAGAAATTGAAAAATAAAGAAATCGAAACATCCCAAAATCGAACTGTTGAAAAATTGAGTAATTGAAAACTTGAAAAATCGAGAAAATATCCAAAAATTGAAACAAAAATTGAAAAATTGACAATTCAAAAATTTTAAATTTAGAAATCGAAAAACTGATAAATCGAGAAATTGAAAAACTGAAAAATCGAAACATCGAAAAACTAGAAAATCGAAAAATCAAAAACGCGAAAAGTCGAAGAAACGAAAATACGAGAAATCGAAACACCAAAATAACGAGAAATAAAAAAATTGGGAATTCGAAATTTCCCAAAATCAAACAATTAAAAATTATAAATTTTAATTTAAAAAATCGAAAAATCGAGTAATTTAAATATCGAAAAATTTAAAAATCCAGAAATTGAAAAGTTCCCAAAATTGAAATGTTGAAAAATTGAGAAATCTAAAAACCGAAAAGTCGAGAAATTTTAAAAATCGAAAATTTAAAAATGAATAAGCTGAAGAATAAAAAATTTAAAAATTTGGGAAATTGAAAAATAGAAATATCGAAGAACTGAAAAATCGAGAAGTCGTAAAATCTAAAATAACTGAAAATCGAGAAATTGCAACATAAAAATAAAAAAATTGAAAATTCAAAAATCGAAAAACGTAAAATTTTAAAAATCAAAAATCTGAAGAACTAAAAATTTAAAAATTCGAAAAATTGAAAAATAGAAATATCGAAGAATTGAAAAATCGAAAAACTGAAACATGAAAATCAAAAAATTGAAAATTCGACAATCTAAAATTTATAAATCGAAAAATGAAAAGTTCCGAAACGGAAATAACGAAAAACTAGGAAATCGAAACATCGAAAAACTAGAAAATCGAGAAATCTAAAAATCGAAAAGTCTAGAAAGTTTAAAAATCGAAAATTTCAAAAATCAAAAAGCTGAAAAATCAAAAAAAATTAAAAAATTCGAAAAATTGAAAAATAGAAATATCGAAGAACTAAAAATTCGAAAATTTGAGAAATTGAAATAGACCAAAACCGAAAAGTTAAAAATTCTAAATTTTCATTTAAAAAATCGATAAATCGAGTAATTAAAATTTTTAAAAAATTTATAATCCAGAATTTGAGAAGGTAGCAAAACTGACATGTTGAAAAATTGCGAAATCTAAAAATCGAAGTCGAAAAATTTTTAAAATCGGGAAGCCTAACTGTCAAGAAATCCAAACATCAAATAATCGCAAAATTGAAAAATCGAAAAACGTAAAATTTAAACCATCAAAAAGCTGAAAAATCAAAAATTTTAAAATTCGAAAAATTGAAAAATAATGGAAAAGTCGAAGAACCGAAAAATCCAAAATTAAAATATCGAATAATTGAAAATCGACAAATTGAAACATAAAAATCAAAAAATTCCGAAAGTGAAATAATAAAAATTGGGAAATCGAAAAACTGAAAAATCGAAACATCGAAAAACTAGAAAATCGAAAAATCAAAGACCCGAAAAGTCTAAAAACAAAAATACGAGAAATCGAAACAACAAAATATCGAGAAATTAAAAAATTGAGAATTAGAAAAATCCCAAAATTAAAAAGTTAAAAATTGTAAATTTTAATTTAAAAAATCGAAAAATCGAGTAATTAAAATACCTAAAAATTTAAAAATCCAGAAATTGAAAAGTTCCCAAAATTGAAATGTTGAAAAATTGGGAAATTGAAAACTTGAGAAATTTAAAAACCGAAAAGTCGGGAAGTTTTAAAAATCGAAAATTAAAAAAATTAATAAGCTGAAGAATCAAAAGTTTAAAAATTTGAAAAATTGAAAAATAGAAATATCGAAGAACTGAAAATCGAGAAATTGAAACATAAAAATCAAAAAACTGAAAATTCAAAAATCTAACATTTAGAAACCGAAAAACTGAAAAATCGAGAAATTGAAAAATTCCGAAACTGAAATAACGGTAAACTGGGAAATCGAAAAACTGGAAAATCGAAAAATCGAAAACCTGAAAAGTCGAGAAATTGAAAATTTCGTAATCATAATAGGCGAAAACAGAAAAGTTAAAAATTGTAAACATTAAATTAGAAAATCGATAAATCGAAAAAATTAAAAAAAATGGACGAAAAATTGAAGATTTGAAAAATTGAAACATCGAAAAATTGATAAATGGGAAAAACCGAAAATTTAAAATATCGAAAAATTGAAAAATCAAAAACCTGGAAAATCAAAAATTGATTCGGTTGTGCAGTTCCTGATTTAACCAATAAAACAAATTGACTCTCATTAATTTTTTTCAGTCACTGGATAAGTAATTCTAAAACTATGATCGCGTTGATAAACCACAAATATAGAGTTATAATATTCCATATATTTCAGAAAGGATTTATTCCCAAAATTTTGAGATGACAGCACCATTTTTTAGGAGGGGATAAACGAATAAATTTTGCATAACGATTTACCTTGATTATGATAACCTTAAAATGCTTGCAAGATTTCAGAGAATTCGGTTTTGCAGTTTCAAAGTTAAAGATTGTCCAGAATTATATGAATTTTATGGACTCCCAAAGGTAATTTGTTTTACAGCCCTGTTGTCAGTTTTATTGTTTAGCTGAAGAGCGGGGCGAACTCAGGTACAGAAAAGATCGGCTTTTCCCTGACAGGCTCTTTACCTGTACAATAGAATTGACGCCTGAGCTGTGAAACAAATTAACGTTGGGAGTCCATAAAATTCTTATAATTCTGGACAAACTTTAAATTGCAAAATATTGTTATACAGTTCTGAATTTTTTTCCAAAAATCTGGATGTCAAGGGTGAAAATTCGAGACGGATTCACACATCACAAGTGGGGCAGTATCTGATTTTATAAAACTAAAAAAAATACTTACTATTATAAATTTTGAAGATAACGTCATCCCAAAGGTAAAAATAGGTCACCCGTTGGTGTCTATCTGTCACTTGTCTGTCTGTTCATTATGTCTGTCGTCTGTGTCGATTTTTATTAGACAAATAATCTCCGAAACTACCGGACCGAGTTGAGGCCACCTCAAAATTTTGCTTGACAAATCCTCTTTAACTTTTATAAAATAACATACTCCTGTACTTATGGTTTATGAGTTCGCCTTGAGTTTTTGGTCAAAGCATCCAGATTTTCGTACAACATCAGATTTGTTCACGACACTGTTCTTACTGCGACTGGTATTATCTATGTTGTTTTTTCTAATTATTGAATTATTGCAATTTAGTACATATTTATAGTATGTATCATGTATCACTTAGGAAATTACATGTGGCTGAAATTACTTTCAGGTTTGGATTTAGATTCCTGTTTTGTTGACATAAACCAAGTTCTATTTGTAGTGAACCTGTTAAATAACAAAAGCGTCATTCTTGAACTAAATATATCTTATTGAGAAAATACTTCAAGGTCGTAAATATCGAAAACAGGCTTCAAAAAACCGAATCCAATTCCAAACTTGTAGCTTAGTTCAACTTCAGAGGCGTTCGTTATGTTAGTTATAACTTTTTATAACGGTCCACATGCATAAATACAGGGAAGACTGCTAATTGTGGATAAAAGAGTAATCACTAAAGTAATACTAATGAGGTACTAAAATTGTACAAAAGGCAGCCGGAAACGAGAGACCGACACTTTCGTGTTACACAACTTTGAAATGTCAAAAAACCACACCACTAAAAACAGAACCAAAATTCTATTCCATTTTCAAATTCCAGCGCTCTAGGCGCCACGGCCCTCGGTGACATCATCTACGTCTGCGGCGGCTACGACGGCGTCACCTCCCTCAACTCCGTCGAGCGCTACCACCCCTTCACCAACACCTGGTGCTCGCTCGCCCCCATGAATAAATCACGCAGCGCAGGCGCAGTCATCGCCTGCCACGGCTACATCTACGCCCTAGGGGGCCACGACGGTCTCTCGATTTTCGATTCGGTCGAACGTTACGACCCCAGCACCAACACCTGGACGGAGGCAGCCCCCATGCTGACCAAACGCTGCCGTCTGGGGGTGGCCATGCTGGGAGGAAAACTGTACGCTTGCGGGGGCTACGACGGGAGCACGTTCTTGCAGACTGTGGAAATGTACAATCCGACGACGAACAAGTGAGTACCGAATACAATCTTAACTTTAAAAGTTTTTGCGATGACGTCATTAACTTTCTGGAGGGGATGATACATTTATACCCTGTTGCTTGTAGGTGGACGTACGTCGCTCCCATGAACGCACAAAGGAGCAGGGTGGCGTTGACTGCGAATATGGGCAAATTGTGGGCTGTGGGTGGTTATGATGGGATCTCGAATTTGATTTCTGTAGAAGTTTATGACCCCAAGACTGATCAGTGGACTTATGCGGCTCCGATGGTTGCGCATGAAGGAGGGGTGGGGTTGGGGGTGATTTCTGTTCCTTAAGAGGAGACATAGATGGTGATTTTTAGATGATGTTACGCCATGACTGTTGTATATTTTGATTTAAATAGGATCTAGGTTAAGTGATTTATTTAAATTTTATTTATGATATAAATAAAGAGTCACAGGTAGACGGTGAGTTTTATTATTTAATGGTGGAGGTCCGGATTTTTTTTTAACAAAATACAAGTACAAAGTCCGACATTTTATTCAACCTTCACGCCATTTAACATGTCAAATCTACATTCGCTCGAAAATGAACTGAACGACGAAATAAAAATTGCGTGTGTAAACAATAATAAGAAAACAAGTGTGTACTTGTGCAACAGTACTATGAAATAAATAACGGGTCTTTAACTGAAAAGTCATCAAGGTGGCGTTGCTTTTTTGATAGAAGAAAACGTAGTGAAAACTGCATGTCTTTTATTAACCCACATTGTTGTGTACTGACAATTCCGCATTGTCAGCTGTCGTCGATTAAATTTTAGGTTAATTGTAGACATACTTCACAGTGTTTACAAAAATTAAGGCCAACTTGACAATTTTTTTTTTTTTTTTTTCAAACATACCAAATACCTAGTTTTCAGATTCAAGTTCAAAATTGAAATCATGCGACAAACGTCATTCCTAACAAAAAAAGTTTTAAAAATTTAGAAAAAAGAAATATTCACAATGGAGACTTTCTGTTCTTCTGAATGACGTGCAACTATGTGGCTTTTTAAATTCGAACTCTGTTTAGCTTTGTATGGACACTTTTTACACTGGTACCATTTGACATCCTGCTCCTCTAGGTGGCGCGCATTTATGTGTCTATCTAAACTCGACTTTTGTTTAGCTTTGTATGGACAGATTTTACACTCATACCACTTAATATCTTGTTCTTGTAAATGGCGAGCGTTTATGTGCTTTTTTACGCTATAACTGTCTTTAGCTTTGTACGGACACTGTTTGCATTCATACCACTTAATGTCCTGTTCACCCAAATGCCGCACTTTTATGTGTCTTCGTAAATGCGAACTGTTTTTAGCTTTGTATGAACACTTTTTGCATTCATACCATTTAATATCTTTTTCGTCCAAATGCAGCGCATTTATGTGATTTTTTAAATCACAGTTGCGCTTGGTTTTGTAGGGGCAGTGGTGACATTGAAACCACTTAATCTCCTCGTCGTTCAAATGGTGCACGTTTATGTGGGTGTTCAAAGAGCATTTTTGTTTACTTTTGTACAGACATTTCGGGCAGTAAAACCACGGTATTTCATCGTCGTTTAAATGTTTTGAAATTCTGTGTCTACGTAAACTAGACTTGTATGCAGTCTTGTATTCACACTCATCACACTTGTACCACGTAGCAAAACTTTTATCACTGTTCTCACTTGAAATGTGAATATTTTCAACATTTTTCAAACATCTTGCGACGTGCTGCAGCCAATTTATTGCAAAATCTGTCTCAAAGTCACACTTATCACACCTAAATTTCTGAATTGTGAATTCAGAAAAGTCGTTTGCTCTTTTAACGCTGTGGCATTGCTTGATGTGTATTCTGAAGGCGAGTGTCAGGTCTGTTTCAAAGTTGCAATCTTTGCAGAAATAAGGTTCCACTTTGGCGTTTTCACAGTCAAAAAGTATTATTGTTGATAGGTGGCGTTTCATGTGGTTCATCATGAGAAAAAAGGAGGTTGTGGAGTACGGGCAAACTTCACAGTTGTGTTCATTTTTACTGGAAGTTGTTAAGTTGTCGGCACACTTTTCAGTGTATTCCAGGATGGACATTTTATTTTGTCTGGAATAATTTTATTTCAGTGCGCAAATAGTTATAGGGGGGCTTGTCTCACCTAAAAATCTGTGAAAGGAGCGTTCAACATGTCCAAGAGTTGGTTGTTATCGAATTATTGATAACTTTCTTTAGAAAACGATAACAACATAACCACAAAAATTAAACTACGATTAGTTTGATGACGACAGATGCCACTTGTCGCCTGTGAGGTAGGCAACCAACAGTTTCATTTCTATGTACACTTTGTTAATAAGGTTTGTGGGCCATTTTGGGATTTATTATTTACATTTTTTTTTTTGAAATGGTGGGAAAGTTAAATCACACTAGATTTATTTGCTGGAAAATTTATGAGAACATAACAAATTTACTAGATTTTGACAGATTTCAGGTCAGGTCTTATGGTCAAAGTATTATTTCTCTATCTCACAATAACGCAAAAATATCTAAATTAAAAAAAATAACAAGTTCCAGTAGTGACATGATGTTTTAATGTTCGAAAATTAAGAAACTGACGAAAAAATGATACCAAATATTTTTTCTAAAAACATTATTCCTTACTATATGAATTATTTCAGTTTGCCAGCCAGTTTGTGTATTCGTATTTTTTAAAAAATTGTTTTGATTTGAAATACAAAAATGTTAAACATAAAAATAAAAATTACTTAGATGTACAGTGACGGCCATAGAAAACTGGACCACTAGGTTTGACACACACTTCCAAATTAAAAAAAATAGATTTAATTATGTTTTTGTTTTTTGACAAATCAAATGATTTTGCCACAGCCCAGCCCGTTTTTCAAATCAGAAGCGTATATACATTCAAATTGCTGTTATGATATTTAAAATAATAATAACATTAATAATAATAATAATAACCAACTAAAACTTTGTTACATCAAAGTGGTCCAGTTTTCTATAGTAGCGGTTGTACATTATTTATTTATTATTGTACATTAATTTGAATTTCAAAAAAAATTCAAACAAAAAAACCGTTAAACAAAGGCAACCATGTGCACGTTAATGCTTTTTGGGTAGTTGGTAGTCCTGCTATAGAGGTAGAATAGAGGTTGGTAGAAAAGATGGTTAGTTTAGTTTCGTGTGTGAGAGCATGGTGAAAGAGGCCGTAAGTTAGCTAGGTTAAATCAGTTGGCTTGGTAATTAATAACAGGGAGGAAGCCTTTGTTTAACGACAATTAATCGTAACGACGCCGACGCCACAGTTTTCCCCAACACGTGCAGCTAATTCTTGCGGCTTTCTAACCGGAAAAAATGTGCATTTTCGACCGACGCCAACCCGTGTAAATTTGATTGATTGTTTGTAAATTCACAATTCATGTTGGGATTTTAATCGTTAACTGATGCTACCACAATTTAACAGACATTAGATTTATTTAGATAAACACTCACTAGGAGATTTCATGAAATTCACTTAGTCAGGAATCAGTCTTTTGTTTAACAAAGTTACACATAAGTTTCTGAATGCTAATACTTAAGTGTTACATTATAACCAAGACGCGGAATAATATCTCACACGCTCGATCCAGTGCAGCACTGAGATAAAATTCCGCGCACTGATTATAACACTTCTTAATTTTTCACATAAGATTGCAAATAGGTCATTTACGGCAGTTAAATTAACCTAACGAAGAGTTTTCCTCGCAACGCCTGATACATAATTATGTGTTTATTTACATGTGTTTGGTTTGGGATAAACAGTTCACGATATAAACCGTCAAAACAAATTGTTTTATGTAAGTAACCAATCACTTGGATCATGGCATAATGTAACACAATATAAATTCTTTGTTTGAATCGTTGATAAAGTGTGGCAAATATTAATCTCATGTAAATTTGTTAGCTTTGCAATTTTCACCTCATACAATATTTCTCTATCTCACAATTTTAACTTCAGTAATTTTCTTTGTTGTATAATAATTTAAATTGAACGTAAACTTTCATGCCCTGCAGTTTTTAACCTCACGTAATATTTTTATTTGCACAAGTTTATTTCACACCAGATCATTGTTTTTTATAAATCTTTGCTAGTTTTGTTTTATGTGAATATTTTGTTGATGAATGTTACCATCATATAAATTATCTGATGTCCAATCTTAATCAAATAAGAATTATTTGTTGTTTAAATTTTCACAAGATTATATGGCGAATTTAAATGTTGTTTATTGCTCTCTTTGAAACTTTGACACTTGTTCAGTTATAAGAATTGAACATATTGTAATAACCCAAACTTCCCGCCTTTAAATTGACCTTGAAAAAATTTGAAAGGCCCACGAAAAATTCAAAATTTGGCCTTGGCTATGATCGTTTAACAAATGGGAACCTACGTTGTGTGTGTTTTTTTTTGTTTTTGAAAATGGCGGGAAAACGTTCTTTCATACAAGTGTGCATACACTGCGTGTGACTCGGGAGCGCAAGAAATAATAGACAAAAGTTTGGAAGGGGCCAAAATGCCACCCTTCCTTAGGAGGAAAAGAAACGAAGAGCGACAGTGACTCAGCGTGCCCTTCTGGCGGTCCCGCAGGGCCAAGTCGTTATCGGTCTTCATCCCCAAAAACCCCCTAGGGCTATATTCACAGACATATTACATTTCAAACACCTTAAGATATATGAAAGAAAAACACTCGCGAATTGACAGACATACACATATGAAAAACGAACAAACGCAAAATTCTATACATCTGTTTGGAATCAATGCAAATATTTGAATATCACAAATTTAATAAAAACAAAGCAAAATCTGAATTAAAGAAACTGGATGCAAATACACAAGTTATTACGGGCGTGTGGCGTCAGAGGTTAAAGTTACGGCAGTTAATAGGAGCACAACAAAAGTACCCCTGAGCATTCTAGCATAAGCGGAGTTTGGGGCTACCGATCTGGAGCTGTTCTCCCCCCACGACGGTGATTCTATCTATCGCAAAGCCTACCCGCACGCACCTCCATTACGATCTTGCTGTGCGAAACTAGGCCATTACGGTCGCCAGACCCGTAGGTGGAACTCGGCTAAGGACAGAAGCCGAGAACGTTACAACATCGGCGACAGCTCCTGAATCTATCCAAACCTGTGGACTTGTACAGGTGACCCGATAAATCTCGCCAGCTCGGCTAGGAACCGAACTTCGCTTCCGCCACGTTTTCTGTGTTATTTAACCTCAATTTCGTTTCATTCAATCTCTTATAACTGTGATATTGACAACAACTGAACAAGTGTTAAAGTTTCAACGAGCAATAAACAACATTTAAATTCGCCATATAATCTTGTGAAATTTTAAACAACAAATAATTCTTATGTGAGATATAAATTAGACATCAAACAATTTATACGATAAAAACATTCATCAACAAAGTACATATTTACAAAACAAAACTTAGCAAGGATTTATGGAACAAAAGATCTGGTGTGTGAAATAAACTTGTGCAAAGAGAAATATTATGTGAGGTTAAAACTGTAGAGCATGAAATTTACGTTCAATTAAAATTATACAACAAAGAAGATTACTGAGGTTAAAATTGTGGGATTAAAGAAATATTGTATGAGGTGAAAATTTGCAGAGTTAACAAAATTTACATGAGATAGTTGCCAGACTTTATCAGCGGTTCAACCAAAGAGTTTACATTATGTCAAATTATATTATGATCTAAATGATTGGTCACTTAAAAAAAACAATTTACTTTGAGAGTTTAAAATACCACGAACTGGTTACCCCAACAAAACACATAATAAAGAAACACAAAAATATCCAATCATCGCTCCGAGGCAAAAAGCGTCTCGGTGATGTAAATTTTAAATCGTTGCCAGGAATTTCCTCGATGATGTATGTTTTAGCGGTGGAAGGAATAAGCCTCGTTGATGTTATTAATCTCTAGCGTTACGACGGCGAATCTCGATGAAGTAATCAATCTGTAGCGTTGTGAGGACAAGCCTCAATAATGTAATCATGATAACGACGATAATAACGATGATAACTGCCTCAGGGAAGAAATTATTTTAACCCCCCTATCAGTTCGCAGTTTAATGAACTTTGTTTAACTGCCGTAAATGAACTATTGGCAATCTTGTGTGAAGAATTAAGAAGTGTTATAATGTAACACTTACGTATATGCATCCAGAAACCTATTCGTAATGAATCAACAAAGGTGTTTTCCCTGACTAAGTGAATTTCATGAAATCTTCTAGCAAATGGTTTATTTAAATAATCCTGATTGTTAAATTGTGTTTGCACTAGCTGACTATTAAGAAAAACTAACTTGATTGGTGAATTTACAAACAATGAAACAAATTTACAACACGTGTTTCGCATTGAACGGAAGTCCGCATTTTTCTGATTAAAAGGCCGCAAGAATTAGCCGTGCGGGTTGGGGACACGGGAGTGACGTTGGTTACGATTGACTGTCGTTAAACGAAGGCTTCCTCCCATTTTATTAACTACCAAACCAACTAACCGAAACCTAGCTCTTACCACGTGTTTACACTCACAAAGACACATTCAGACTGACGCTCCGTCATGCTGCCCCCTGTCTCTACCAACCAACCAACCAACCCTCTAACTAAAAATTCCCTAGCGCTACCAAGCCGCCATCTTACTCAATAATAATGCAAAACTAACCCCTAAGCGCTATTAATTGTCCGACTACCAAGCAGGCGTTTCCGTGCACCAAGTTGCCATGTTTAACGATTTTTTTTGATATTTTTTTTTCAAATTCAAATTATTCAAATGTGATTTCGCGCCGCTGTTAATTAATTTCAGCGCGAAAATTTTGATTTAAATTCGGTCACCACAATATAAATGGAGTTGAGGTTAAATAATACAGAAACACGTGATGCAAGCGGAATGCGCGGTTTCTAGTCGAGTGGCGAGATTTATCGCGCCATCTGCACAAAAGATGCAGGTTAGAATAGAATTCAGGGGCAGTCGAGATGACATAACGCTGTCGGCTTCCACCCCAGAGCCGGGACCCAACTGCGAGTTTACGACCGTAACGGCCTGCTCGTACGGCATGTCTGTAATAGAGGATTGCTGTACGACAGTGCTTGCGATAGATAGAATTACCGTCGTGGGTAGAAGAACAGCCCCGACCAGGAGCCCCAAACTCCGCTCGTGCTACAACGCCCTTATGGGTATTTTGTTGTGCTCTAAACTGAAATCGACATAGTTCGATCGTCACA